CCATCTAGTGCAGGCGTTTTTAGTGCATTCGTTTTTTTTTTTAATACTTTCTCATTTAAGTGTGATAGTTTTCCTTTTAACTTCGTTAAATATATGTAGGTACTACTGACGTGACGTTTATATTTCTAACAACAAATCGTTTAGTTGGTAGAATGGGCAGGGGGACGACAACTACACTTGACGATACAGAAAATTTGCGCTTTAAAGTTTAATAAGTCACGGACATATGGCTAAATCGGAAAACGGTTTCCCACTCGCATATTTTTGAAAAACCTATCCAACGATACCCCACACTATGGAGAAGATGAAAAAAAATCATACCTACTTTACACGTTAGTGAGTATACGCTAGGTGTGAATTACTAGGTTTGGGGTAAAATATTCTATGGCAGCGCTCATGGTGGTCAAAAATAAAAACATTGCGAGCTTTGTCATCCATCTGTCATACCATTCTATGTACTTATATTACTTTCCACTGACTTAATGTGAAAACCGTTTATTAAACATGATTAATATTTGAAAAAAAACTAAAATAAGTGATTTTTTAATTTTAAGTTGAATCTAACTCATAATTTGTATGGAATCGATAAAACAATAAAAATAAATTGTTCTGAAATATATTTATAAATTTTCTTAATGATAATATTTTTTTATTAAACCAGCATCAGATTACATATTGAGTGATTACTTTTGTTATTATTATCATTATTTGTACAAGTGTTTTTTGTGTTTTCAACCCTCTGACACAGTCCACCCAAATCACAGTATCGCAGTAGTTTTGTAATAAAACTAAAAAGATATAAATAGAACACTTATCTTTAAAGTACCAGTCTTCTGAATAACCCAAGATCATTATCCGAGATAATAATAGCTTAGATATAGGTATTGTAGAGTCTATCTCTGCCCCTTTCATCCAAAGCAGTTCAGCCATTTTGACCTGATTTAGTAACAAACACCCACACATATAAAAATTTGAAAGCTCTATACATTCTTTTTACATAGACAAAGACTTGATTTATTAAACAAAATTGTTATTTGAAAGTAAAGGTCCATTTCTAGACTTAATTTTTCATATAAAATGACTTTTAATACTAAAAATGTGTTCGGATATAAAAATGCTGTCGCATTAGTCGTGTTCATAAATTTTTAGAATGCAGAATTTATTTGTTAAATTGTGTTTAATGGAAGTATAATATTTATGCGTACTATGTATTTCTCCAACAGTATATATAGGTACTACACAGACCCGGAATATAATACAATACTATAAACTACTGTACGGTTGGCAACCCTAGTGATGTACACAATTTTTTTTTAGGATTTTATTTTACCATTTTCTCGGCGTGATTAACGTGCATCATCATGCCAAATTCCGACTTTCTAGTATCAATAGTTTTTGAGGTAAACCGTGGACGGACGGACAGACGGACAGACAGACGGACATGACGAAACTAAAAAGGTTCCTTGTTGACAACGGAACCCTAAAAAGATAGTACCACATTACATTCCTTTGTTTTCAGTAGCTAAAAGTGTGTTGAAAATCTGAAACTACGAATTTGGTCTTATGTATTGACCAAGTTGGGATTCGAAGTCAACTGCGTTTTACATTCTATCATAGAGTGAATTTATTAACTTGAACGAACTTCAGAGTTATATTCTTTGTATGAGATAACTCTGAAAAAACATTTCTTCGTCGTTCTTCTTTCTTTATTTTAATTCAATTTTGTTAAATATATAAGCGACACAGGAGGTGTGTAAAATTATAACTATATGTATGTAAGTTTCATTAAGGTAGCTGTACTCAGATATCAGTGTGAAATTCAGTAAGCGGCCAGTCGGTAGATATTCACAGGCAATAAACGCTTACGGAGGAACTTTAGGTCCATTTACTTTTTTATTCGGTGGCTTCGTTAACGATTCCCTTTTGCATTCATTCGAATTGCCTTCATCTACATTCGTATTTATTTGAATTTTCAAAGGCAATTCACAGTAAATTGCGATTGCTTTTATAATAATATCGAAAACTCGTAAACTATTGAAGATATTTTGTGGAGTAGACACTCACTTAGGAAGATTTTTTGTAAATTCTATTTCTTAGGTTGAAATTGTAGTTGAAAGTTAATATTCTATGTAAGTCCATAATTTTTGATGATAGTGATATGAAATATTATAAATGAGAAAAATTCAGGTGTTTGTGTAAATGTATGATATTGGTTGGAAGTTTGTATAGAAGCCGTAGTTTTTGAAGCTTCTAACTCATAAAATTATTTTTTTTTTGGCTACAGATTAAAGATTAGTAAATACTTATTTCGGTTTTTGTGGAAATTCTACTACTGATTGAAATAGGTAATCGACAGTTTGTATGAAAGAACAAAAACGGAATTTTATTTTAGATTTTTTCTTGAAAATAACAATTGTCATCGTCAAGCTAAATCTTCTCGGTTTAAGAATATAGCAAACAAAAGTGATGATCCGATTTCGATAAAATTATTTTTAGTAAGAAAAAGAACCCTCAGAATCTATTTACGAAAATATGGACACAGTTATGACTTCCTTTTTTCCATCTTTGTTTAAAGTACATTCACCTTTTTATTTAAAACGTTATCATATAGGTATAAGATTTGTTTGCATGATTTATATTTCCTGTATTAAGAATAACATGAGAAATAATTTAATGGCGTTCGATTTTAAAAGCTTTCCCTTTCAGTATTCCACTTGAGCGTGTTCACGATATAGTGGGCTTTCAACGTAAGCGGTATGCAATGAATTATCGGTTGCATATTCGAACCCACTTCATATAAAATATGTACGTATTTGAACCGAGACCGGAAATTTTACTAAACATTTATATTGACAAATTTGTATGGGAAACTATTTAATGATAATTAAAATGTCCTCGCCAAGTAAGAGTAAAGGAAAAAACTACTCAAGTTATAAATTAAAATTAACTAACTTTCATGAAGCTTTTGCTGTGAATAATTGCTTCTTTTCAAGTCGTATTTTTGTTTGATAAGATTCAGATTAAAAAAGCTTATACAGCTTCGGATCTTTTTCATTATCCAAATAACGTTACAGTACAATTGAATTATGTTATTCGTTTGGTAAGGTCATGACTACGACCCGCGAAATAGCAAACTTTTTATGTCATGTAAAGCAGTCGATAAGCCAGTTTTCACCACCGGGACCACTCAGCGTGATGGGCTTGTATGATTATGTGATGCGTTTTTCATGTCCCTATTTCATTCCTTTAGTACGGTCTATATTTTATTAACATTCTGAGCACAGAGGGCGTTTTGGCCTCACCTTGTCACTGAATATTGTAAACTGAAATCTGTTATGGCGGAGGCAGCTTCCTCAATCGTGATTTGCATAATGAGGATACAAAGTAGAATTTCATTCGGTTAATATTTTGCAATGTTAACTATATTATATTTGTTTACGTATATTTTTAACTGACTTCAAATTGGAAAGCGAGGTTCTACTGCGTTGCGATTATTGTCGGTTATCATATAACAACCTATCTACAGAAACCTTCTGCCATTCACATTCTTTAACTTAAAAGTTTAAATTTACTATGAAAAAATTATTCTAAGCAATATATTTAGTAAATTTCCATCGAGATAGAATGAAGTTTGCAATCAGTAGCAGTTATAATATTTTTCTTAAAACTGTCTGAGTAATTGCCTATTGACAGAGGCAATTACTATGACAGTAAGGAGCTATTCCTTTTTTAAATCGAATTCATTCAGGATCACCTTTGATATTGCTTGCGAATGGTTATAATAGTCGATCTATTTAATACATGATATTCAATAGATCGACTATATATATAAGAATACATAAATAGATCTATTCAGAATCTAGATTGACCTTTGGATAATCTAAGAGGAAAAGCTTTAAAAGCGTCTTCGTTATCAATTTTCGCTTTCATTGTAAGTCCTTTCGTTTTTATATAAAGGAGGCTGGGACTGACAATATTGGAAATATCGAGGGTCAATTATCGTCTATTCTATAAAGATAGACTGCTTTTATAATACTCAGTAGCCTGCGTGAGTTAGTAGTAAATTTCCTTGGGTTATATATAGATAAAACTTACTTACAGTAGGAGTCAGTTTATTTATAATTCAAGAACAAATAAATAAGTGCTTGTAATACTATAAAAGATAGAAAATAATGTTTGAGTATATTATTAAAAAATATATACCTTTTCTATCGCATATGATAACTGCAGCTTGGTTTCTTTTAGGATTTGTGAGGAACGGGAAAATAAAACACATGTCGGTAACAGTATTTATTATTAAAAATGTTGACGTTCAAAAAGATCACGCTCACTTTGTAGCCGAAAGACTTCGTGCATTTCGCAATACGTATTAATATTAAGGTAGGATACCGATAGGTTTCCGACGCTAAGACGTTTTTAAATTTAGATGTTTTACCTTTCGATCAGTCGTTTAGAATTTTTGTGGTGATCTATCTTTCTATAAATATATAGGAGGATATATGTACTTGATAATTATTATGCGACAAATAAGACCCTCATGTCGCACCACCATAGCTTTCAGCGTAATAGTATAAATTGTATAGGTAACATTAGTTTCATATTTTTTCCTTATCTTTGTACGAGCATATTGTAGCAATAGTTGATTCAATAACAATGGTTCCAATCAAATTTCATAACAGTATACTCCGAATTTGAACAGATTTTTTTTGTCCTCGTGCGAATAACTTAAAAGCTGCCGATTTACCTATCACTCGGTCTTATTCTATTTTGCTAATGATTAGTTATTCACAAAAAAATAAGTATTTATGAATTTGGTTGTGATAGGAGATATGTAATAATGATTTGTCCGCCTTACCCATACTTATAGTTCTGGTGGCCCTTTTACCTTATTTTTCTTAATGTCTTGTTAATGGTAACAAGACCTGTCGTTAAAATAAATGTACTTTATTTCTAAGTGTAAATGGACATCAAGCTTTGACTTTGACACGTTGTAAACTTACCTCCTTGAGGAAAGAACTGCGCATATATAATTTTGAAGGTGTCTTCCTTCACCACTCCTGTGGGACACTCGGCCTTGAACCCACGGTAAAGTCGTTTCAGTTCTGGCTCCGTGAACCGCGTGGCTCGGCGCAGTGCCGCGATCGAGTCGGGCCGATACCGCGGCAGCTGCTCACCCAACTCCTCGAGTTCGGAATCTGGAAAGTATACAATAAAACGAATCAGATATAGTTTGAAGATCTCGGTGACCAATGGTAAGCGCGTTTGGTCTGCCATTCATGAGGCTTAACGGCTTATGCTCGGTCATTGGATGGGCGACCAACCAATTTATTTACTCGAAATTTTCAGTTCTACAGCAGTAAATGTAAATGTGCTTGTCCACTGCCTCAGCACGCAGGCACAGGCTGCACGACACGCAACACATTGCACGATTTTGTCGATGTCATACATCCATTATATAGTATAGATGCTTCTATGAAAAATGCGACTTAGCTGTGACGTCGGAGTTATGCTGACAACGTCATAGGTATTTTTAATATAATCTGTGGCATGTCGTGCGGCCGGTGCGTGCATGCTGACATTATGTGGTTGGTCTTGTTCGTATCATTTGTCATTAGCACTCGCAAATATACGAAATATAGGGAAGGCCTGTGCCCTATGGTTAATAGGCTGATGGTGCATAATAGTCAGTTATCTAAAAAAGAATCAAGGAAGAAACAACATAATTATAACGACTCAAATCCTAGCTAGCGAACGCCTAACTCTCCCGCTATGTTTTTTAGCCATACTTTAGCCATACCTATAAAAACGTTTTTTGTTTTTATCAAAGAATGGGCTTCTATTCTTTTATAATTTTTATATTTAATTAATGGTTTTGATTATTGATATATTTTTTGATTGCCTTAATTTGACTAAATTAAAAAAGTTGAATCAAGACAATGTTTATTTCGAAAACTGATATAAAATAAAGGCTTGATTAGATATATAAATTATAGTAAATATGCCGTTATAATAGCTATGGCTAGAGTTGTAGCGCGAGAGTTAGGCGATCGCAACCAATCTCTTTTCACGTGTTTTCTAAATGACTTTTTAGCAAGATATATGTATTGTTTTATTTTAACCAAATGTGGACTTTCTGTTTTAATTAAAAAGAAAGATATTTTTCAGAATGATTACATAATTTTTTTATAAGAATGTCAATTAAACGCGCTGGGTCTTCGAAAAAAAAAATATGATTCATATTTTATCAGCATTAGCATTCTCGAAGTGAGAAACTGTGCTAATTTTCCATCATTTTTCTTATTATTATTTTTTTGCTTTAAATTGGCATTATCGGTAATTTCTTCAATAGCAAAGAATAGACGTTAAGCTGTTCTTAAACGTTCACGTGCCCTTCACTGTAATCCAGATGTCGTATGGGTATAGATATTATCGGGTGACAGTCGGTGCCTCTCCTTACTACGTGCTCAGAGAGCAAACCGCGCCCATGAATATCAGCGATACGCTCCCTTGACACTTCATATTCAGAATGTTCATAAACTGCTTCGTATGTACTCAAGCGAGGACATTATAATTATACTAAGTGAGTTTTTTAACTGAGATTCAAAGATGAGTAGCCTTAACCCCCTATTATGGAGTATCCCTACTATGGAGTCTGAAACAAAGTAGACCCGAACGATGGGATCAGAAGTAGCTCAGGGTTGCTCAATGAAATACCGGGTGTAAAATCAAATCACTTATAAGCAAATTCTAATCTACTGACATAGAGTCAGTACCTTAGAATTTGTGGGTCTCGATCAGAAAAAAAAATATTATCAACAAGTAAAACACGACAGTTCAAAAATTCAAAATATTAGCGGCCAGCATTGACCATAAATAGTCCGGAGAATAAACCTACCTATAGTAATGTGCACGGACGTTACAGTAGACAGGAGACATTTTAGAAAAGTCATTTTTTTGGATTAACCCGACCAGCAATTGAACCCCTCAACTTTGAAACCGGCGTGCGAAAAGGGATGATGACTGGGTAAATAAAATGTAATTCTATTTAGTCCGTCGGTCAGATAATAGAAAAATATTAGATACGTATTTTTTTTACTTCAATTTAACAAGAAATAGCTTAGATAACAGGCATTAAAGTTGAGGAGTGGGGGCTCGCTACGTCACAGTTGAGTAGAAAACGTACTCTAACGTGACGTCATGCGAAATTTCAACTCAATGTAACGCCGTAATTTTATGATTACGAAAAAAATAAAAACGTGTTTAATATTTTTTAACACTCTACCTGACGGACAAACAAACAAAAATTAATCCCTATTACTCGGTTACCTAAGACAGCCATCAAATCTCCCTCGCTTTTGAAAAAAGATCAACAATTCGCAGAAAAATTAGTGAATACACATAAAAAAATACATCACCGTCTAATATATAACCTCTTCCTTTTCGATTTTGAAGTAGGTTAATAATTTAATAGTTTCTGTAAAAATATCGTATAAGACTTCAATATAAAATAAAAATTTTTAGGACAAGGTGTGAATAACGTATTTCTATCAAGTTGTCCCTAATAAGAAATATCGTGTACAAAAAATAACCGAATCCCAGTTTACCTATCGATAGCTTACTTGTGAATTCACCTGCGTGTTCCGGAACGGCAAATAGTCTTATACTGAAAACGATAGAGCTCGGATCGAAATGATACAGAAGTTTGTCTAAATTACTTTTATCTTTAAGGGAGAACAAAGTGAAGGAAATAGGAAGGGGAATAAGTTAGCTTGAAGTAAAAACTTTCTAGCAACTTATTTGTTCTTTTTACTTTGTAAATATACCAAAGTTGTTTTTGCAACGTTTACTTGCGCTGTATAAGATGATAATCTGTGCATTTATGGACAATTTGAAACAGGTGATGGATGACCACATCAATTTAAAAAACTGATAAAGAATAAATTATAATTTTCTCTCAGATACTTTAAATCATACCTATTACAGTTGCTGTGAATGTTTGTGATCTTGAGGCTTCAATTTGGTTTTCATGTCATGTTATTCCTAGTTTATCGTTTATCAAAAAAAATATTAACTGTTACGTTATTCATTGTTTGTTCGACATAGCATTGCACGGGTTAAGCAGTGGAAACTGTCTAGGCTACTGTACTACTTAATTGAATTATGTGTGTAACTCAATGCTGTTGTTTCTCAAAATGAATAAATAAATAAATTTTCAACGAATTTCGTCTAGTATAATGAAATACAAATAATGTTTTTTGCTATTTTTAAGGTAGATATTATAAACTACGATGCGAACATTTGTGAGGATGGATGTGAGTTCGTAACTCTTTCATACAAAACTACTGACCGGATTTTGATAAAGCTTGAAATAACATATACGTATGTTACTTTTTATATCACTAATGGTTCTCTAGTAATAAATGTACTGTAACGTCATCGTGTAAACGCGGTCGCAGCCTCTTACAGAAAGTTACTAGTAATAAATAAACTACTGCATTCAGGAGGTAGGCTGGCGTATATTACCGGGCCCTCCTTGCAAGATACCGGATTCTTCCTATCCGTGTGAGGTGAACCGCAGCGGGTTTTACCAGGTCTTTCACACCAACCTGCCTTTTTTAAGGCGGGATGGAAGAAAGCCCTGGTTTGAGGCTTAAAGTGAATTTCCCCTGCGTTAACAAAAAAGAAAAAAGAAAGGTTGGCGTATATCGGCGCGAACGATGTAGATATTGTAAGGACAATAATTTTCCAAGAACCTTAGCCTAATGGTGTCGCGATCTATGAGATACCAGGTTGGTCAATGTAGAAAATTGACTTTTTATATATTGTCTCTGGTCTGGGTGTTGTGGTAGCTCTCAGATACTACATAATACAGTGACATTAGAAACTTATTTGATATCTGAGCAATGTATGTGATGTTGTCTAATATTTTTTTGTTTATTAATTTAAGAACAAAGTTTTGCAATGTTTTGATGCTTCCAAATATAACAAGTTCAGTAATGTCGTACGAGACCCATGGTGTGTGAGGCTCACTTGTACTTGGTTGTTTCTATTTGCTATACTATGTGGATAGCTTCTTGCTTAGTTCAACTTTTAGCTAAACTTTCTTCTATGATTTATGAAATAAAAAGAAAATATAATATAAAGCTTCGATTGGTGATGACCAATATTGAATGCTGATAGAGAATCTGATTGAAATTCGATACTTGTATGTAGATGATTTTGATATCTGGAAGTATCTGGAATCGACCTTGAGAGATTGATTTATTTGTTTGCTGGTTTTTATTGAAACTAATCGGTAGAAATATGTCGATCGTTTATCGTATGGGTCACGTTTTGTCTGTCGCATTGCGTCTCATTCTTGGGGCGTACGATTTGACTACAGGGAGCGACAGTTTGTGGTAACAACAGCCGCCCGCCACCAGGTGCTACAAACTGCTCCCAACTTGGAACCACTTATACCGACATACTTTGAGAATAAAACTTTAGATGGACCTTTTTAATGTTAAGAACTTAAAGTTTACTGTCTCTCATTTTGGATATAAAGCTGCTGTGAAGAATTGTGGGATATAAATGAAGGGCTCAAAGTAAGAGTGAAAGATAAAATATAATAAAATAAAATGTTATGTATCATAAATGTACAATTAAAAAATCATCAGAGGCGAGCAGTGCGAAAGCGAAGAGCAAACAAAAACTACTTGTAATATATCACTAGAGAAAGAAATTATAACTATTTACACAGCCTGGTTTTATGGCCAGTTCGTAACATATGGGCATTTCGTTGTGTTTATGTTGCTTTAAAATATCTTTGATGCTTTCTTTTTCATAAATGAAAACATGTTTATGTAATTTAAATTCATAATTATGACATAATATCGTTGGCAAGGCTTTAATATTTTAACGTGTGTGCCTAATTAAATTTTATACCAGTCCTCGGCCGGGTGAGGCCGGAATTGTTTGATTTTGTATTCTGTTCGGTAGGTATGGCAAATGATATTAATATTTTAATCCGATCCCATCATAATTTATAATGGACTTTGCTGTTTATATAAATGAACAATTTTGAACTGATACGTTGTTTAGGATGAATTTATGATAACTAAATATTCCGATATACTTATTAATTATAGTGCGATGAAGTTAATAAGTCTGTTAGCTTTCCCCTTATCAGTGCATTTAATAAATTCCCTGGAGTTTA